ATGTCTACGACGAATATGTCTAGACTTACTGTTATACAAGTTGCTTTGCGCCCTACCAATAGCAGCTTGGCTATCACAGTGAATCATCACAGGCGGCAAAGTCTTATCCCAACATGGAATATCGGATAAAAAATTTCTAAGCCACTTGGCTTCTTCACCAGCTTTATCTAAAGCGATGAACTCTGATTCCATAGTTGACCGAGCTATACACGTTTGTTTTGTGGATTTCCACGAAACTGCACCTCCTTCAATGCAGAAAACATATCCGCTAGTGGAGCGAGAATCTCTCGAATCTAATATCCAACTTGCATCACAGTACCCTTCAAGTACGGCTGGATATCTCGAGAATTTAGCTCGTATTCAAGGGTGTACCTCAAGTACTTAAGTACCCTTCTCAAAGTATTCCAGTGCTCATGACTGGGATTGCTCGTAAATTTGCTCAACTTATTCACCGGATAGGCCAAGTCTGGTCGTGTACAATTCGTCAAGTACATCAGACTTCCTATTATACGTGAATATTCCAACTGAGCCACTGGTTGACCTTTGTTGACTTCCAGATTTATACTGAGATCGTGTCTTACACCTAGACTGTGCACCGTCATAGGTATCAAATTTCTTAAGCACTTTCTCTACATAATGAGATTGTGACAAGACAATTCTATCTTGGGTTCTGATAATCCTTATTCCAAGAATAACATCAGCCAAACCCATATATTTCATGTCAAAATTTCTTTTCAACATTCTTTTCGTATCCATGATCACTTCATGGCTACTCCCCATGATCAACATATCGTCTACATATGGACATACAATCACAAATGTATTTGATGTACTCTTGACATAAACACATTTATCACATTCGTTGATTTTGAAATCATTTATCAACATCACGTCATCAAATTTCAAAGCCATTGTTTCGGAGCTTGTTTCAATTCGTACAAGGATTTGATCAATCTACACACCTTTCTCTCTTGTCCAGGTGCAACAAACTCTTCAAGTTGTTCCATGTATATTTCTTCTTCCAATTCACCATTCAAAAATGTCGTTTTCACATCCATTTGGTGAATCTCAAGATTGTGCACAGCAGAAATCCAGAGAAGCACTCTTATCGACGCTAAACGCGTAACATGTGAATAGGTATCAAAGAAATCATACTCTTCCTTTTGTTTAAAGCCTTTGACCACCAAACGTGCTTTAAACTTATCAATCGATCCATCAACTTTATATTTCTTCTTTAGGATCCACTTGCATCCTAAAAGTTTACAACCATCAGAGAGATCAACCAACTCCCAAGTATGATTTTGCATAATGGACTCAATTTCGCTATTTACAGCTTCTTCCCAGAGTGGTCCATCTGGGCTGGACAGAGCTTCCTTAAGGGAACTCGGTTCATCGTCCAACATGTACGTAATAAAATCAGGTCCATACGTTTTAGCCATTTTTACCCTTTTACTACGTCTCGGTTCTTCATTAGTACCCTTTGGTACAGAACCACTAACAGTTTCATACGTTCTTTTATTAGAACTATATTCTGCCATTTCCTTCAGAGGAAAAACATTCTCAAAGAATATAGCATTCCTTGACTCAATCGTGGTACCAACAGATACCTCTGGATTTTCTGATTTATGAACCAGAAATCTATATGTTGTACTATTGTACGCATATCCAATAAATATACAATCGACCGTCTTTGGCCCGATTCTCATTTGTTTTGGTTCAGGTACTGAAACCTTAGCCAAACACCCCCACACATTCAGGTATTTATAAGACGGCTTACAATTTTTCCACATTTCGTGAGGATCCTCTTCTTTCCCTTTAGGTGGTATTTTATTCAGGATATGATTTGTTGTCAAAACAGTATCCCCCCACATGTTCTGTGGTAATCCTGAGTTAATCAAAATGGCATTCATCATTTCTTTTAAAGTTCGATTTTCACGTTCAGCAACACCGTTCGACTGTGGAGAATAAGGGGCTGTAGTTTGATGAATTATGCCATATTCAGAACATATATGTTCAAAAGGAGCTACATACTCCCCACCCCTATCACTTCGGTTATTTTAATCCTTTTGCCGAGTTGATTTTCAACTTCGGTCTTATATATCTTAAACGCTTCCACAGCCTCATCTTTGCTGTTGATTTTCAACTTCGGTCTTATATATCTTAAACGCTTCCACAGCCTCATCTTTGCTTCTTAACAAATATAAGTAGCAAAATCTTGTATAATCATCAATAAAAGTTATAAAATACTTTTTACCGGTTCTTGTTTTCACACTTTTCACATCACATACATCAGTATGGATCAAGCTCAATGGTTCAGTACTCCTTTCCACCGAATGAAAAGGCAACTTAGCCATTTTTGCTTCAATACAAATTTCACATTTTGTATTTGTTTGAATTTTAGAATTAGGAATTAATTCGAATTTCATCAACCGTTTAATTGCATTTAGATTTACATGTCTCAATCTAATATGCCACATATCAGAACACTCAACGGTATAAATAGAAATAGACTTTTTTATTATCAACGGTTACACGGTTCACGACCATTATATTCATTTTGAACAAACCTTGTCGAGATAACCACGACCAAGGAATATTCCATATTTGCTAAGAATAAACTTCTTAGCTTCAAACACTAGCTTAAATCCATGCTCAACAAGAAGTGATCCAGAGACCAAATTCTTGCAGATGTCTGGGACATGCAGAACATCCTTCAGCTTCAACTCCTTTCCAGAAGTGAGCTTCAGCAACACCGTGCCCACTCCAGCCACATCAGACGTGGAGGAGTTTCCCATGTGAAGTTTCTGACCCGTAGCAGGAGTGTATTCAGAGAACATCTCCTTGTCGAAACACACATGACGAGTGGCACCAATATCGATGTACCACACCCTTGGGTTATCCACCAAATTGGCTTCAAACACCACCGCCGACATATCAAAGTCGGTCAATTCACCCGACACAGGGCCGTGTTCAGCAACAAGGGCACTCGGTTGCCCTTTATTTGGCCCAACTTTCTTTGGCCTCTTGCAGTCTTTCGTCATATGGTTTGAATTTCCACAGTTGTAACAAGTTTCAGTGAATTTCCAAACCTTGACGGGCTGCTTCCTTTTGTTAAGGGGCTTCTTTTTGCTCAAATTTCCTTGCTCCAGCAAGTTCGCACAAGCCTCCATTATCGGGCTTTTGCCCGACAAATTACGGTTGTCCTCCTCAATACAAAGACGACCAACCAGGTCTTCAAGACTCATCTTCTTTATCTTGTGTTTGAGATAGTTCTTGAAGTCCTTCCAGCCTGGCGGGAGCTTCTCGATCACAACCACTACTTGGAATGACTCGCTCAAAGTCATTCATTCAGAATGGATATCGTGCAAGATCAGCTGGAACTCTTGCACTTGTGACACGACAGTCTTCGTGTCAACCATCTTGAAGTCAAGAAATTTGCCGACGACGAATTTCTTCGCCCCGACATCCTCGGTCTTGTACTTCTTCTCCAGGGCAGCCCAAAGCTCCTTGGCAGAAGGTCAATGAATTTTTTGATTTGTCACACGTTGAGCATGTTTGTTTATGAAAATTTTCAAAAAAAAAAAAAAAAAAAATTCAACATTTTAACTCAACCACTTTTTTTAACTCAACCCCACAATCATAAATATTATCAATATAATTAAATAATATCAATCAATCATTTATACACACTACATCAACCTTAATTCATTATTCATCTACTCACATTATTTTAACTAACCATCACATCAAATCATCCCTTTCTTACTTTTACATCAAATCATTTTAATTATTTTATTTTAAATATTATTTTAATATACCCACTAACAACTAACCATACCATCTTTTTCAAAACTAACCAAATCAAACCAAAAAATCCAAACAAAACCAAAAATTTCTATAAACAAACATGCTGTTTTTCCACAAATTTTTGGCATGCTAAAATTAATAACTCTTTAATAATAATTTTTTTGGGGCTCTCTCTCTCTCTCTCTCTCTCTCTCTCTCTCTCATCATGCAAACTTGATCTAGTTAAATTTTATCGGATTTGTCTAGCCGTATGAAATTTCAAAATTTTCAGATATATTAAGTGAAACATGATCTGTAGACCTTTCTTGTTGGTAGTAAATGGCTAATTTGTGTGCTGTGTTTTCATGATACTTATGTCAAATTTTTGATAATCGGGGCATCAAGGATGCGGTACCAATGAAGCGCACCATAAGAGGGCGGCGAGCCTAGTTGTACCTTAGTAAGATTCCACCCTAAAACCATTTTTTTATGGGAGGAGTAGCTCACTAGACTTATAAATTAGGCACATTTACACTATCAAATCAATGTAGAACGACTGACAAGTGATATTCCGACAACTTTTCACTAGAGATGCTCGAACACGAGTCACCTGTTACACTTTCTATTATAAACCTGACCTTTTTTTTTTCTTTTTCATGATACTTAGCCCTGGAATTTCCTTGTTCCAAGTTCCAAGTCAACTAATATGAAGAAAACGTAGTCATACACACCTATACATGAATCTGCAGGCAGTTCTACAGTGAACATTTCTAAATGCCTGAAGTTATACAAACACTTTCATGTCCTTATTAGATAACTGGAAATAAAAAAATATACACCATGGGAAACCATCTCAAAGTGAAATAGGCATGCCAATATTTATTCATCCAGTCATCCAATTAGATTCAGGACTGTCACCACATACACACATACACGCACACAAAGTTATGAAAACAAAATTCCATTACATCGGCTTTTCGAAATATCGAACAATATGTATCCACCAATAAGAATTACGGTACCAAACTTTTCGGTAAACAGGCAAATTATCAACATACTGCTAAATGCACTTGTTTTTTTTCACCAGAAGAAGACACGCTAAAATATGCGATGCCTTGAGCATAAAAAGACAATGATCTCTATAAGGATAATAGATAGAGTCTAAGCTAAAAAAAATGGCATCACCTACTCATAATGTGATTTTAATTGGTAATTTAATGCTGGGCCGATTCATCTACAGCACACAAGCGCTCTGCAATTTCAGGAAAAAAAGGACCACAGTAAAAAGCTACTATTAGTTTGAGCTGCAAAAAAGGTTTAGCAAATGCTATCTGTCACCATTAAGTGACGATAAACGTGTACTAAAGCATCTAAGACCTCACTATCTCCAGTTCTTATTCACTGTCATGGCCAATGGCCAACCAAAACACTAGTTTACGCCAAAATATTATTCTTTCAGAATAAAATAAAATAAAAAACTCCATTGCAGAAGAAGTGAAAATCATTTGAGATTCGTTTTGTTCGACGGTAAAGAGAACTGTGAATTTGAGATTCGTTTTGTTTGTCGGTAAAGAGAACTGTGAATATGAATGAAGACACGAAACAAGAAAAGTTGAAAAAAAGTAAAAAATACGTACTTAGATACTCGTAGGTCAATATCATAGATGTTCCCCAGGCTGACATGCTGAAAAATCTAGGACCGAGTCCTCTGTAAAGCCCGGTCCATCCATCATCTGCAATCAAATTTCTTACCACTTCTCTTGCACGAGGTCTCTTTCCATGACCTATAACCTAAAGAACATTAAAGGCACAATTACTGATCACTCTTGCCACATAAAAGTAGAATATGCTACAAAACCATAGACATCGATATATCAACTGATAACAATAAGCAGGGGCAAACTTTTTTATCCCTTTTGATTTGTAGTTGATGACTAGTTTTAAGCAGATCTCTGGTTTGGTTATATTCAAATTGGTGGACATTTCCTAAAAATGTACTGAAAAAATAAATATTTTTCAGATAAATGTGAAGGTAGATGATTTAGTAGCCATCATTACAAACCATTTTCAAAATCATAACATGGATAATACAATAAAATAATGTATGCCAACGAAAAACAACCAAATTGCCAAAACCTGCAAGCGAGTTTTCACAGTATCCAATGGGGTCGAAATGCATGATGCCATGGCACCTGCAAAAATGGATCCAGCAGCTTGAACCGCAACAATTTTTCCCTCACTAATTTTTGCCCCGTCACCCTCTGTACCATGATGTAAGAAGCTGTCGGAAAATTGAAATGTGAAATTGAAATTCAATGAAAAAAAAAATAAAAAAAAAAACAAAACAGAATAAAGGAAAACACAGAATGAACTAATATCCTATAATAATACTCACAGATGCAGCAGTTGAGACAATAAAACACGAGAAGAAAACTGGAATGACAAAAGTAATTAAATAAATAAATAAATAAATAAAAGGCTTACCTCCAAATCACGCGTTGACTTGCACCATAACTTGCCCACCAGACAGCGTTCGAAGGTGAATATGTCATGACAGAAAGACCAAAGCCTCTGTATAATCCTCGAATACCTCCAGATCTAATAATCTTACGAGCAACGTCCAGCCCCCCACTATAAGTCGCATGGCCGGAATATCCTTGGACCATCAATCTTTGACTAACCTTTTTTCAAATTATCAGTTGGATGGAATTTAAGCACCTCAATACATTTCAGAAATGTACACCAGATAAAAATTGCAACCAACATAACAATGAAGTTGATGGTAAGTAAATTACAAATCTAAGACACGTTTATTTTACTTTTCAAAGAACAATTTGGTAACTAATTAAATAATACTACCTCCTATTTTTAATATATGTCGTTTTGAGAAGTTCCACAGTAATTACGAATATTTTTTTTGTCAATAATAACCTTATTTAATGAAGATAGAGATGATTGTTTTGAGAAAAAGTGAAGAGTGAATATGATAAGACATAATGTATTATTAGCTAAATGAGGGTAATAATGAAAAAATATGTACAAAAGATCCAAAACGACATTTATTTAGTTAATAGTTGATAAAGCTAGAATGACATTTTTTTTTTTAAAAAGGAGGGAGTAATAATGATAATACAACTGATCAGGGAACCGAAAATATTAAGAAAAATGAATAAAATGGCAATTAAATATCAATAGGTACCAAGTTTTAGTTTCATTTAAGTCTAAATCACATCATAAATCATTTCAATCGGCCATTCCACATCACCAGAAGACTGATGGACCAAAAAAAAGTATACACATTAAACTAAGTGAAGCATACCACATCAACCGGCACAAATACAGCTTGTGAGCACAAAGCAGCCATCATGCCAGCAATCCCATTTGCCACAGCTGCCTGTGTAGGCTCTGACAATCTCAAAGGCTCCACCAACTTGTAAGCAGCCACTTTTGTTGTCTCTAATGCGGTAAGAAATATGATTCTAGCTGGTACTGCCCCGGTAATAACGGTCCCGAAACCTTTATATAATCCGGGGATCCCATCTGTTTTCAGCAGGCCCTTGATGACCGAAAACGCATTTCTTTCTAAGGCGTCGTGTGTACTTACTTGCAACCTCGTCTTCACAACCGAGATCGGATAAAGTGCTACAGTAACTCCAGTGAAAATTCCAGCTCCAACGACATAGAACTTTGTTTTATCAAGTCTGAACAAGAACATGAGTAACTTAATTAATAAATGAAACATGTAATTGAATAATGCATAATCCGAAACCAGTAACCAGAAACAAGAAAAGGACGAAATCGGATCATAAAGGGCATAATGAATTGCATAGAATAAGACCCTTTCTGAGTGTAGAAACTTTCCGGGACAATCAACAATTAACCATAAAGATTTAATAAGATCATGTTAACTAACTTAAAACCATTAGACTTCCCATTTTGTTGCTTTGATTCATTAGAAAAAAGAAAAAAAATCCGCGCGCATACACATATGTATGCGCCTTAGTCATCATCACATTCAAAGGGTTGCTAGGAAGAAATCACACATACAGAGAGATCTTCAAAAGAAAACCCTCAGCCAGCCAATATCGCTGAAAAAATTTCCTACAAAATACATATGAATTTTCTCTCTTTCCGAAATTCTGGAACATATCAACAAACCATTACAATCTGATAAATGCAACTACAATAGAGATCTAACACACAAATCTCAATCCACTGACTGAATCAATAATTCCCAACACTAACCACTCACCCACTAAGGTAAATCACAAAAAGAGAGAGAGAGAGAGAGAGAGAGAGAGAGAGAGAGAGAGAGAGAGAGAGAGAGAGAGAGAGAGAGAGCATAAATAAAGCAACAAAATAGCAGGAAAATAGAATGTACGACATTCAGATTCACCATCCAAGAAATTAAATCACCGCAAACAAACAATCAATCTCGAGATAATGCAATTACTTTTGGGGGCAAAACCCTGAATCATTTCCAGCGGCAGCATAAATGACAATGAACCAAAAACAGAAATTTACAGTAATAACAATGGATGATTACAAATGAGACAAGAAGAAGAAGAAGAAGAAGAAGATCAATGGAGCTCACTTGTCCCAATTAATCTCCGTTTGCCCAAATGATTGCCTGCGCGTTCCCGCCGACTCCATCGCAGCTTACCCACAGAAAGTACAAAACGCCAGAACAGAAAGTATACTAACACGAAGAACAAATCATCGTTTCCAATAAGAAAAAAATGAAAACAAAAAATAGCTTAAAGCTCGTATCTGCAGAGGAGGCTGCGGTTTCTTGGGGAGGAATTAACCCTTAAAACCGCAGTTTTATTATTTTAATTTTGGTGGCGGCGATGCTTTGATGCACCTTATGAATCAGATTTTGATTATTTCAACATTGCAGCTGCAGCTGGACTCGTAAAAAGCTCGTTAAGGTTCGAACTCGACTCGATTACTAGTTCAGGTCGAGGTCGAACTCGATTATTGGTTTGACTTAGGGCTGGGAGTTCGAGTTCGAGACTGCTCGTTTATAGTTATAGCCCTAATATTTTTCAGATTTTGTAACGTAAAACCAAAAAAATTGTTAACTAAGGTTTTATTTATGGTAGTTAATCTATTTTATTTTACTTTTTTTTTACTAACTGGATTTCTTACCACGTAAAATATATGCTAAATATAGGATTCAATCCATTTTTTATCCAAATATTTATAGGAAATCGTAACAGGTTAGCAATAATTTTTTATTTCAATTCATCAAGCGAAATCAAGTTGGTGAATTAATATTTATTTCGTTATATATGCTAAATATAGGATCTTTCTTGTGCCGATCATCCACTGCTGGTTTGGTTTGTCTGGTCGCTGGGGGATGGCTCTGTTTTTTTTTTTGTTGTTTTCCTGTTTCTGTGTTTAGTTTGTTTGTGTTTGTGATTGTGATTGTGTTTTAGGTTTAGGTCGTTGACCTCTGTGCACCCGGGTGTCAAATTTATTATCTTGTTGGGATCCGACACTCGGGCATTATTCCGGTTGGGGTCTTTTTATTTGTTTTAGTTGTTTGTTTAGTTGCGAGTGTTTTTATTCTAGCGTTGCTAGCGGGATTCTAGGCGGTCTTCTGACATGTCCTCCCACTTTATTCTCTCGTTGGGAGCTTTGCATCTTTTTTGATTGAAATATATTAATTGTTCTTTGGAATTTATTTGTATATTATTAGCAACCTTGATTATTTTTTTACCTTTTTTTTTTATTTTGATTTCTTTCTATAATTAAATTTTTTTAAAATATATTTTCATTGCATAGTATAAATTCATAAATTATAAATCTTTATTATTCAAACTAGAAAAATCTTATTATAGAAGGAAATGTGTTTTTGGCATTTGCTAAATCAAAATTGTTTAATTAGTATACAAAGTTAAATTCTAAAAATCATGTGTGTATGTTTTATAAAATATTTATATACTATTTAATTTAAATTACTTACATACTTTAAGTTGATTACATAAATAAATAATACTAACATGCATTAAATATTTTTCATTACATATAATACAAAGAAAAAGAAGACGTGCAACATCTATACTTTTTATAAAAAATAATGACATTATATGACAAGAAAGTTTATAATAAAGTTAATTATTAAGTATTATACGGTGAAAGAATAAGTAAAATATTATTCTCACTTATATCAAGAAATAAATATATATAAAAACTAAAATCAAATTTATATTAGTATAAAAGTGTTAGTGACATAATACATTGATTATTTTACAAGCTGATCCTAGCATGCTCATAGTTAATGTTCCGACTAAAAAAAATTATTGATTAAAATAGATGAACAATAGATTATAACCCTATTGCTTTTTTGACTTAACACACTGATTAAAAGAGGTGAAAAATAGATGATAACTCTATTGTTTTTAGACTTAAACGGACAAAACTTGTGAAAATAACGCATTTAATATCTCTATCCCGTACATCATATATATCACGTGCATCACACGGGTAGTGTCTCAGACTTTAAAATTTCAAATATGTACAAGATTTTAGAAGTCTTAAAAATATCAATTAAAATACAAGTGAATTTCCAAAATACAAATCCTAAATAAATACACCTACATTAAAGAATCTTAAAACTTCTCCCCTGCTTTCTGCATGCCCTTTGTCATCTTCGCAATAAAGATGTGAGGTAAATACGCCATTTTTTTTTCAAGAATCTTATAGTGGCTACGGGTTAAATTTACATATATATTTTTCTTTTTCATTTATCAAAGACCCCTTAGCTCATCTTGACAAGCTTTGCACTGGCTACTCTCTCTCTCTCTCTCTCTCTCTCTCTCTCTCTCTCTCTCTCTCTCTCTCTCTCTCTCTCTCTCTCTCTCTCTCTCTCTCTCTCTCTCTACACTTCTGTGACTGATCAAGAAAATCTGCTACTGATCGAACATGGAGTCCTGCTTCAGATCTTCGTCGAAAATCGCAGCTTCAACCATTTTGCTGTTTTTCTTGTGTTCTTGCTTCAAATTTACTTCAACAGGTATTTGATTTTCTTTCCTATTTTTTGTTCATTTTGTTCCCAAGTGAGGTTTTATCTTTCAATTCTGGTATTGCTCAATGAGAATCTTCTGGCCGGTCCATTTAGTTTGTCGAAAAGTTCAAATCTTTGTGTAGTTCATTCACCATCATCCCTCTTTGTCATTATTTTCTTGAAATGTTAATGCTCAACGCATATGTTTTGTTCGATTATTAAACGGGTCCTATTAGTTTGTTGAAAAGTTCGGATCTTTGAGTAGTTAATTCACCATTGTTGCTCTCTGACATTGTTTTCCTGAAATGGTACTGCTCAATGCATTCATTTTGGCCGATTTTACGGTCCAATTAGTGTGTCGAAAAGTTCGAATCTCTGAGTAACTGTTCATCATTGTCTCTCTCTGACATTATTTTCTTGCAATGGTAATTCTCAACGCATATGTTTTGGTCGATTATTAAACAGGTCCAATTAGTTTGTCGAAAAGTTCGAATCTTTGAGTAGTTGATTCATCGTTGTCGCTCTCAGCAATGGTAATTCTCAATGCATTTGTTTTGGTCGATCATTAAACGGGTCCAATTAGTTGGTCGAAAAGTTCGGTTCTTTGAGTAGTTAAATTCACTAGTCTCCCTCTATCATCATTTTCTTGAAATGGTCATCACTTTTTGTATGAATGCAGAATGTCCTGTAACTTTCCAGCTGATAGATTAATTTCAACTTCCCATTATGAATGAATCTTTATTCAAACATTTAATAAACCATGTTCTCATCCTTAACTTCATATGATTGGTCATGAGTAGTATGATTTAAGTCAGTCATTTCTTAGTCAGAATCAGGTTTTCATAATATTTGAAGATCAAACAGTATAAAATGTTTTAGCTTTTCCATAGGTTCTTACATGATGACTATATTTAATATTTATTTTTTGGTTTTGTCCCATTCAGATGCATATGATGCACTCGATCCCAATGGAAACATCATGGTTAAGTGGGATATAATCAATTGGACCCCTGATGGTTATGTTGTAAGTTTCATACATTTGAATATTCTCATTAACAATGTTAAACGAGCTTCGATTGTATATCGATTTCTTTCGAAAACTCACGACAGGCCATTGTGACCATATTCAACTTCCAACAATACCGTCACATTCAAGCTCCCGGCTGGACTCTCGGTTGGACTTGGGCCAAAAAGGAGGTCATTTGGGGCATGAAGGGGGGTCAAACCACCGAACAAGGAGATTGCTCGAGCTTCAAACAGAATATCCCACATTGTTGTAAGAAAGATCCAACGGTCGTGGATCTTCTGCTTGGAACTCCTTACGATCAACAGGTCGTGAATTGTTGCAAAGGAGGCGTGATCGGGTCGTGGGCCCAAGATCCCGCCAACTCAGCCAGCTCGTTCCAGCTTAGCGTTGGTGATGCCGGGACCTCGACTAAAACGGTTAGTTTGCCAAAGAACTTCACCATGAGAGTCCCAGGGCCCGGGTACACTTGTGGGCCCGCGAAGATTGTGAAGCCTTCCAAGTTCCAATTTCGTTTCGTTAGATGGGAGACGAGCTGCACAGGCCATGAGTAAGTTTATTCCGAGGAGTTTTTGTAGTTTTTAAACACGTACTTGGTAAAATTATATGATAAGTTAACTTGAATGCTTACCAAACACAGTCTTAGTGTTTTTGGATATCAATTAGTAATGATGTTTAAAGGTTTTGATCTTTAAAGACTTTGTAATGCTTTCCTATATGCAGTGACATGGAATGTTACGTGCACGTATTCTCAGTTTTTGGCTCAAAAAGCCCCGACTTGCTGCGTTTCACTCTCGTCTTTCTACAACGACACGATTGTCCCTTGTCCGAGATGTGCTTGCGGATGTCGAAATGTCTCTGCTCAGCCTGAAAGCTGTGTAAAGTGGGCTTCCCTTCTAATTTGCTCTCACATTTTTTCCTTTTCCACAGCTTATAAGCTTTCTGTATTCAAAATAAGCTTTGTTTGGTAGGACGAACTTTTTTAAAAAAACTGGAGTTTATCTCATAAGCTTCGTAGCTTTTCAAATAAGCTCGTTGAAGTTTTTATATTTCAGTTAATTTTACCAAACACTTTTAGCATATATATAAACTACCTTTTCAGCTATAACTAAAGTCATAAGCTCTAAATTCAAAACTCGCTAGCTTATCAACTAGTCTTACCAAACGTAGCGTAAATATCTTTACCGATTTTCCTTTTTTTTTAATATAAATCTCCATATTGCAGTCCCGATTCTCCACGACTTACACGTCTAGTCCAGTGCACGTCTCACATGTGCCCGATTCGCGTTCATTGGCACGTGAAGCTAAGCTATAAGGAATATTGGCGGGTGAAAGTCACCGTAACAAACTTCAATTACGGAATGAATTACACGCAGTGGAACTTAGTCGTTCAACACCCAAACTTTGATAATCTTACACAGATATTCAGCTTCGACTACAAGCCGCTAACTCCATACCAAAACATAAGTAAAGTTCATTAAAACTACTAAAAAAATATTTTGCGAAAAAACCGTAAAGAATCTTCTTATATTATTAGTTTGTTTTGTACAGATGATACTGCATTGTTGTGGGGTGTGAAATTCTATAATGACTTGCTCATGCAAGCTGGCCCACTCGGCAACGTGCAGTCCGAGCTTCTATTCCGAAAGGACAAATCAAGATTCACGTTCGAAAAGGGATGGGCTTTTCCTAGAAGAATCTACTTCAATGGCGATAACTGTGTTATCCCACCTCCCGATTCTTATCCCTATCTACCAAACGCCGGTTTAAGGAAAAACATGTCCTTTCTCACGCTAATAATCACTCTGTCTTTATCAGTGTGGCTTTCCATTTAGAACATGTGTAATCTGAGTTTTTTGATCAAGTGTAATTTTGTTTTGTGAAAGAATATAATGCTACTCTTCCTTTGCACCGGTGTTAGTAGATTTTCGAGTACAATGTGATATAGTATTAGCCATGTACGCATGAGAAGTATCGGTTATTGATCTGACTTTTTTCGATTCCGAGCTTTTTTCTCAGACATACGAAAAAATTGAAAACTTGAAAAAAATTTAAATGTGTTTATCAGTTTATGTGAAAGGAAAAGACACATATCAGTTTAACCTATGAAAAGGCCAAGCAATCCCAGATAAATATCCATATCCATACATATAAAGGTCAAGGTACTTAAAAATGCTTGTATCCAAATAAAAACAAGAATGTATGACCGGAAAGTATCTATTCCGGCAACAGTGTTTTTGTCGTCATTTTCGTGCTAACTTCAACCGTCACAGCCAGGTGCTCCAATGGAACTTGCAAGGTATACATATAGTTTGTTGATATAGAAAATTATTGGCTAAAAATTGGAAAATTTAAATGTGTTTATCAGTTTATGTGAAAGGAAAAGACACATATCAGTTTAACCTATGAAAATACCAAGCAATCCCAGATAAATACCCATCCCCTCCCCCTATATATTAATACAGAATGCGCTGAGCCTACGTGGCTGTTTTTGGTGCTTCGGAATCATATGTGACAAAATTACATGCTTCGTTATTAGAGTTGGGTAAATTTTAATTTAATTCCAAACCAAAAATATTTAGGTTCGGATTACCATAAATATGTTGATTATGTATGGTCATGATACATGTATTAATTGTATTTTAATATCATTCCTTATTATAACTATTGAATTGTATATATATTTTAAAAGTTAATAACTTTTGTATTTTTTATCAGTTTTACATATGTAATATATCAAATTAATCTTCTTTTGATAAGTTTCGATTTAACATCCATATTGTATGTATAAAAAAAAATAATTTATATTTATCTTTATAACAATAATAAAATTATTTTTAATATTAATTAAAAAAATAAAATTATTTATCAACTAATATATTTATATTTCAAGTAGTTATATGATATAAGTTATAAAAACTAATATAATATAACACATGTAAGTCATAAGTAACACATATCATTCTAAAATATGTAGTAATATATTTTTTTTTTTGTAAAAAAGTAAACTCAATTTAATATAATTTTCTCATTAATTTTAAAATTTAAGAATAATTTTTTAATAAGCACCCGTGTAATACACGGGTATTGTACTAATATCCATATACATATAAAAGTCAAGGTGCTTAAATTCACGCTAATTATTGTATTGAAAATTATTATATAACTTAATTGGCTGAAAATTGGAAACTATCACTAAATAAAATGCACTTGTGAAGAGATGACAAACGTAATCGTAAACTATCATGAAGCTAAATAAAATGCCAAATATATTGTAAGGTTAAACACAACTGTCTTGGAAAATTTTGAGTCACAATATGCATTTCTTATTACTTGTTTCCTTTTCCCTTCTATAAACTAAGTTTATTTTATGTAATTAATTAATTAACAATTTTTTTTTTTTAATTAAAGTTCAAGACTGTCATAGAAGAGAATTGAAAATGAAATGAATATCTCATTATTTTATGGGATTTTAGAACGTCCAAATTGAATACCTCTAGATTTTTAAAAAAAAAATATTAAAAAGTAGTTGAAAGATTTACAATGTTGATAGTATAGCATCAATTCTAAAGTTCTATTCATTTTTAGAGATTTCTAAAAAGTAGTTTAATTTTTTAAAATGCAGTTAAGTATAGCATCAATTTTAAATTTCTAATCAAGTACACGAGTCCAATTTAATTTCCCTAAAATAGCTTTTTTAACCCTCATATTAGAGCATCTCTAATGGATAATTGTCTATTTTGTGTTGTATGGCACGGAGAATGGAAGTTAAAAAATTATGTCTCCAATGGTTAATGCTAATTGTGATTTCATTTGTGATGTGTTGAATTTTAATTGGTTGAAGAAGATAAATAAATTAAATAAATCTCTATTACATAAAAGAAGTTGTCTAGAAAGCCTTCTAGAAATTTTTCAAGCCACACATAAAATTATTTGGGACATGTGGCAACAAAATAGAGAAATTGAAGGACCATTGGAGATGCTCTTACACGTCGAGAATGAAATTTCTTGTTTCACTTTACGTTTCATTTTGTATTAGCCTTCATTAAATAATTGACACGTATACAAATATAACAGACTCCCACTCTTCAGATGAAATTTTGGAGCGAATAATTAAACAATATAGAACCATCAAATCACCATGGCCCTAAATTAAAAAAGAAAAAAAAAAACAATAATAAAAATAACAACAAACAAAAATAGCTTTAAGGCACCCCCTTAAAATCGGGTCAACACCCTTATTACCAACAAACAATCTCCACACCCATGCAAAACAAGTGCCGGCCCCAACGCTAACACCCACCCTTTATATAAGTTACATAACCACACTCTCTTCTTACTATATTCCAACAAACACACTACACTCCCTTAAAAATTGCTACTACTCCCAAAAACACGCTTTTCCCCTTGCCACCATGGCCCCACAGCTGAAAGACGAGCTCGACATTGTGATCCCGACTATCCGCAACCTCGACTTCCTCGAGATGTGGCGGCCCTTTTTCGAACCCTACCATTTGATCATCGTCCAAGACGGTGACCCGAACAAGACCATCAAGGTTCCCGATGGCTTTGATTACGAGCTCTACAACCGTAATGACATCAACCGGATCCTCGGCCCCAAGGCCTCGTGCATCTCCTTCAAGGACTCTGCGTGCCGGTGCTTCGGCTACATGGTCTCCAAGAAGAAGTACATCTTCACCATAGACGACGACTGCTTCGTAAGTCAGTTTGACCGTTTGTTGTTTGTTTGTTTTGTATGTTTTTGTCTTTTCCGAACTTTAATATTAGTAAATAGCCTTCTCATTCGGTGTAAAAATGAAATATAATCACCCGAAGTATGAATAATAACTTAGCAGCACTGATGCGTAATTTACGTGAGCAGGTCGCCAAGGACCCGACGGGCAAGCAGATCAACGCGTTGGAGCAGCACATCAAGAACCTGCTCTGCCCATCGACCCCACTTTTCTTCAACACGCTCTACGAACCTTTTCGAGAGGGAGCCGATTTTGTGCGAGGCTACCCTTTTAGCCTCAGGGAGGGTGTGCCCACAGCTGTGTCGCACGGCCTATGGCTCAACATTCCCGACTATGATGCCCCGACCCAACTTGTCAAGCCACTCGAACGAAACACTAGGTAGGTAGATTCAATAGTCTCGTCCCTCTTAATTATAAATCACTCTGAATTTTGTTCAAGTAAGATATATTCTCAATGATGGCTCTTTTCATTATTTTTAGGTATGTCGATGCGGTGTTGACGATTCCGAAAGGCACGTTGTTCCCAATGTGCGGCATGAACCTGGCGTTCGACCGAGATCTCATAGGCCCGGCTATGTATTTCGGGCTTATGGGCGATGGGCAACCGATAGGGCGTTACGATGATATGTGGGCCGGTTGGTGTGTCAAGGTAATACAATCAATCATTTACTTAATTATCTATTGTGTAACATTGTTATACAATACATCATATGTATACTCTATAGTAATACTAATAATAAAGACATGTATGATCATTAAGTGTCTCTTTCCAAAAAAAAAACAAAGTCTCTTTGATGACATTGATAAAATTGGAACGATACAGAGAGAATTAGCATAGCTCTTGTGTGCAAGAATGACACAGATAATTTGAGAAATAGTCCATTATTTAAAACAAAAAAGTACTAGGAAATTTTCAAAAAATGACAAGGATGACACGCATAAAACGACAATTTTTTGATACATTTGATGAAAATTTTAGGTGATATGTGATCATCTAAGGCTAGGTGTGAAAACGGGCTTGCCGTACATCTGGCACAGCAAGGCAAGCAACCCATTTGTGAACCTGAGGAAAGAGTATAACGGCATATTCTGGCAGGAGGAGATAATCCCCTTCTTCCAGAATGCCGTACTCTCCAAGGACTCGACCACCGTGCAAAAGTGCTATATCGAGCTTTCCAAGCAGGTTCGGGAGAAGCTCGGGAAAATCGACGAGTATTTTGTCAAGCTGGCGGATGCCATGGAGACATGGATTCAGGCATGGGACGAGCTCAACCCAGCTAGCAAAAAGAGTTAGACGGGACGAGCTCAACATTATTAATTAATGCATTATATTTTTTCATAGCAATTACTTTAAGGTTTTTTTTTTTTTCAAAACGCCACTTAATTATTAATTAATTTTGATATTTGTATGCAGTTTATCTTACAAAAGATAGTTCAAGTTAAGGTGTAGAAAAGGTGGATATATATGCTTTTCCATAAAATAGTTTATTAGTCGCCGGATATTTTACTTATTTGATAATGAGAATTATTAGAACTTTATAAAATTGTTGAGATTTCGCACATTACTAAATTCACTTTTAGATTTAAGATTTCAAATCAAGATTTCACTAAAATCAATAAATTTTAAAAAGCTGAATATAAACTGTCATATCCAGCCAAAATCCAAACATGTGAAGCCACAAACACAAACAAACAAAATAAAAGGAATCAGATTCCACAATTATAATTAAATAGGATTTCTTTATTGAAATGAGTTGTTATGTGAGTTGTCATTTGTTGAGTAATGGAGTTTCACTTCCTATAAATTGTGAGCATTCAGCAGCGGAAGAAAATGCACCAAGGAAGAGAAGAAAAAGTGAGAGTGAGAGAACAAGAACAATATTTCTTGTGAGTGTTATTTTTCAGTGAGATAAAAATAGAGTGTTTGAGTAAATCCTGTGAGTGTGGGAAAAATACACCGGATAGGGTATCAACTCTATTACTCCTTGTTTAGGAGTGGGGTCTCACTGGGTCACTATATTTTACATTTCTAGTGTAAGGGAGTGTGAAAAGATATTGTAATTATCTTGAAAATATAGTGGAATTGTTCGGAGGTTGTCCCGTGGTTTTTCCTCTATTTGGAGGTTTTCCACGTTAAATCTTGGTGTCTTATTTTTTGCATATTTTATTTATTTGGGATATTCTTAGTATGCTCTGTGGTCGCAGTTTAATCTGAACTTCCACATCAGAAAAGAATTATTCCGGTGTTATTGCAAGAGTTTTTCTTTTGTCATTCTTGAGTTGCTGGGATCGGGATTATTGTTCACCATTTTACTTTGATATTTTAATTTACATCTTCCGCATTGCGCATCTGAGCCCTACAAGTGGTATCAGAGCTCAAGTTGGGCTCTGTATCGGCTAGTGTAAATTAAATGGAGGAGAACGTGGGTACCATGGTGAAGCTCACAGCAACAAATTACTCCATTTGGAAGCCAAAAATGGAGGACATACTTTTCTACAAAGATCTGTATGATCCTGTAGAAAAGGGAGACAACAAGCCAGATGACGTGAAGGATGACGATTGGAAAAAGTTACACAGGAAGTCTGTCAGTTTAATCCGACAGTGGGTGGATATCAGCATATTCCACCATGTTGCCACAGAATCGAAAGCCCATACTCTGTTGAACAAAATTGAACACATGTACCAGAGGAAGACTGCACAGAATAAAGCTTTCGTCATTAGAAAGCTTGTAAATCTAAAATATCGGGATGGAAGATCAGTTGCTGAACACTTGAATGAGTTTCAAGACATGGTAAACCAACTTGTTACCATGGAAATGAAACTTGATGAAGAGCTGCAGGCGCTGTTACTTTTGAGTTCTTTACCGGATAGCTGGGAGACTCTGGTGGTCTCATTGAGCAACTCTGCTCCGGAGGGAAAACTGACTTTGACCCAAGTCAAAGACAGTATGTTCAATGAAGAAACAAGAAGAAAAGACTCTGGGGCAAGCAGTTCCCAAGCCCTGGTCACAGAAACCAGGGGGAGAAGTAAAAGCAGAGGCCGAAATAGCAAAACCAGAGATAAATCACAATCTCAACCCAGGAGAAAATTCAAGTGTTATCACTGCGGTGAAGAAGGGCATATCAAAAGAAACTGCAAAGCCTGGAAGAACAGAGGTTGGAGAAACAACAAGGCAGAGAACGATGAAAATACCGCAACCCCTGTGATTAACGGGGAAGTGGTGTTGCTCTCTGTTGAAGAAAAAGAGTGTCATGTTGCTGATTCATGTGTTGAATGGGTCATTGACTCAGCAGCATCATACCATGCAACCTCTCACAAGGAATTCTTTTCTCTATACAAAGAAGGAGACTTTGGTAGAGTAAAGATGGGCAACAACAGCATTGCAAATATTGTGGGAGTTGGTGACGTGTGCATTCAAACTGATATTGGGTGCACAATAACACTGAAGGACGTACGACATATACCAGACTTACGTCTGAATCTGATCTCTGTGCATGCATTGGATCTAGCAGGCTATACTAACAATTTTGGTAACGGCACGTGGAGGCTTACCAAAGGATCGTTGTTAGCTGCTAGAGGTACAGTGAGATCGACACTGTACAGAACTCAAGTGAAGCTGATCAAGGGTGGATTGAATGCAGTCGAAGATGATGCTTCGCCAAATTTTTGGCACAAAAGACTGGCTCACATTGGTGAAAAAGGATTGCAAATTTTGGCAAGAAAGTCCCTCATTCCATTTGCCAAAGATTCAAAACTCAATCCTTGTGATTATTGTCTCTTTGGGAAGCATCATAGGGTGTCTTTCAGCAAAACCTCGAAGCTGAAAGAAAATGTGTTGGAGATGGTGTATTCTGATGTATGTGGACCCATGGAAGTAGAGAGTCTCGGTGGTAGCAGATATTTCGTGACATTTATTGATGATGCTTCACGAAAATTGTGGGTGTATTTCTTGAGAACGAAGGGTGAAGTTTTTCAATACTTCAAAAGGTTTCATGCTATGGTGGAGAGACAAGCTGGTAAACCTTTGAAGTGTCTTCGCTCAGACAATGGGGGGGAGTATACTTCCCATGAATTCAAGAATTATTGTGTCGAGCATGGCATCAGGCATGAGAAGACTGTACCTGGAACCCCACAACATAATGGTGTGGCTGAAAGAATCAACAGAACCATTATGGAGAAAGTGAGGTGTATGTTAAGAATGGCTAAGCTACCTAAGCCATTCTGGGGAGAAGCTGTTCTAACGGCGTGCTACCTGATCAACCGATCTCCATCTGTTCCTTTGGGCTTTGATATCCCTGAGAGAGTATGGTCCGGACATGATGTTAAATACTCTCATCTAAAGGTGTTTGGATGCAAAGCTTTTGCTCACGTTAGCAAGGAACAGAGACGAAAACTTGACGATAAAGCCATTCCTTGTATATTTCTGGGCTATGGAGATGAGGAATTTGGCTACAGATTATGGGATCCAGAAAATCGAAAAATTATCAGAAGAAGAGATGTAGTGTTCCATGAGCAAGAAACTATGTTTGATTCTGCTTCACCAGAAATCAGAGAACCAAGTGGAAAGGTGGATCTTTCACCTGTCAAACCTCCTGGAGATGCCACAGCAGGGGGAGAGTGTGATGGAGAACTCAGGGTTGATGATGAGCCAGCAATAGAAGATGGTGATGGTGAAGGTGTTGAGCAGGAAGACCTCGAAGCTCCACCTCAGCTCAGGAGATCAAACCGAGCGATCCAACCATCTACGAGATATCCTAGTTCCACGTATATTACCATCACTGAAGAAGGGGAGCCAGAAAGCTTTGAAGAAGTACAGACTCATAAGAATAAATCCCAGTGGATGAAAGCCATGCAAGAAGAAATGGATTCACTGGTGAAAAATGACACTTATGAGCTTGTGAAGCTTCCGGAAGGTAGAAAAGCGTTGAAAAATAAATGGGTGTTCAAGCTTAAGAAAGATGGTGACAAGCTGTTGAAGTACAAGGCTCGCTTAGTCGTGAAAGGATTTGGACAAAAGCGAGGAATAGACTTTGATGAGATATTCTCTCCGGTTGTGAAGATGAGCTCTATTCGAGTAGTACTCGGATTGGTGGCTAGCTTGGATCTGGAGCTTGAACAACTAGATGTGAAGACTGCATTTCTTCATGGAGACCTAGATGAAGAAATCTACATGGATCAGCCAGAAGGATTTGAGAAGACTGGAAAGGAGCACATGGTTTGCAGATTGAAGAAGAGCTTGTATGGACTGAAACAAGCTCCAAGACAGTGGTACAAGAAGTTTGACTCATTCATGGCGAGTCATGGATATACCAAGACTGATACAGATCATTGTGTGTTCGTGAAGAAATTTCCAGGTGATAAAATCATTATCCTTTTGCTATATGTAGATGATATGTTGATAGTGGGACAAGATATGAAGCTGATTGGTGATTTGAAGAAGGAATTAGCAAAGTCTTTTGAAATGAAGGATTTGGGCCCTGCGAAACAAATTTTGGGCATGCAGATCATGCGAGACAGAAAGTCCAAGAGGTTATGGTTATCGCAAGAACGGTATGTGAATCGGATTCTGGAGAGATTCAACATGAAATTGGCTAAGCCGGTCAATACACCGTTGGCCAATCACTTCAAACTCAGCAAGCGAAGTTGTCCTACGAGTCAAGAAGATAAAGAAGCTATGGCGAGTGTTCCATACTCCTCAGCAGTCGGGAGTTTGATGTATGCTATGGTCTGTACAAGACCAGATATCGCTCACGCGGTTGGAATTGTTAGCAGGTATCTTTCCAATCCGGGAAAGGATCATTGGGAAGCTGTGAAGTGGATCTTGAGGTACCTAAAAGGCAGTGCAAATAAGTCCTTGAGCTTCGGAAAAGGAAACCCAGTTCTTGAAGGTTATACAGATGCGGATATGGCAGGTGACCTGGATAGTAGAAAATCTACTTCAGGGTTTGTGTTTACATTTGCAGGGGGAGCTGTATCTTGGCAATCCAAATTGCAGAAATCTGTTGCCTTGTCGACTACTGAAGCAGAGTATATTGCAATGACAGAAGCAGGCAAAGAAATGCTTTGGCTGAAGAGGTTTCTTCAACAATTGGGAATGAAGCAGGAAAGGTACGATATCCATTGCGATAGTCAGAGCGCATTGGATTTGAGTAAAAATGCGATGTACCACTCTCGCACGAAGCACATTGATGTCAGATATCATTGGCTACGTCAAGTAGTGGATGAACAACAGTTCAAATTGGAAAAGATTCACACTGACGAGAATCCTGCTGACATGATGACAAAAGTTGTAACAGGGGGAAAGCTTCAGCTTTGTGCCGAGTTGATCGGCATGGAATGCATGTGAAGATTTACAGAATATTTTTCTTTGGCTGGAGGGGGAGAATTGTCATATCCAGCCAAAATCCAAACATGTGAAGCCACAAACACAAACAAACAAAATAAAAGGAATCAGATTCCACAATTATAATTAAATAGGATTTCTTTATTGAAATGAGTTGTTATGTGAGTTGTCATTTGTTGAGTAATGGAGTTTCACTTCCTATAAATTGTGAGCATTCAGCAGCGGAAGAAAATGCACCAAGGAAGAGAAGAAAAAGTGAGAGTGAGAGAACAAGAACAATATTTCTTGTGAGTGTTATTTTTTAGTGAGATAAAAATAGAGTGTTTGAGTAAATCCTGTGAGTGTGGGAAAAATACACCGGATAGGGTATCAACTCTATTACTCCTTGTTTAGGAGTGGGGTCTCACTGGGTCACTATATTTTACATTTCTAGTGTAAGGGAGTGTGAAAAGATATTGTAATTATCTTGAAAATATAGTGGAATTGTTCGGAGGTTGTCCCGTGGTTTTTCCTCTATTTGGAGGTTTTCCACGTTAAATCTTGGTGTCTTATTTTTTGCATATTTTATTTATTTGGGATATTCTTAGTATGCTCTGTGGTCGCAGTTTAATCTGAACTTCCACATCAGAAAAGAATTATTCCGGTGTTATTGCAAGAGTTTTTCTTTTGTCATTCTTGAGTTGCTGGGATCGGGATTATTGTTCACCATTTTACTTTGATATTTTAATTTACATCTTCTGCATTGCGCATCTGAGCCCTACATAAACAAATATTAAAACATCGCTCAAAATTTCAAATGAATAAGCGTTAAGTACATTATTTATCTTTTTAATATGTATACTTGTTTGATAACGAATTATAAAATAAATATAATATCAAAAAAAAAAAAACTTCGACAATTTACCTTTAGTAATACTGATTTTACTACCTTTAATAATATTGATTTTATTAAGCATGTTTGTGGATACACAAATATATATATTTATAATTTTATTACTCAAACAATTATCATTATCAATTATGTTGCACGCTACCATTTTATTTCAAATCAATTTTCATCACAAACAGATTCTAATATTATATTTCCACATGAAACTTATTAGTAACATTAATCATTGACTATCAAATGAAAAACACACCATAACAGTTACTCTCTTTTTTTTTTTTTGAAACGACAAATATTATAGAATAAAAAGAGATAATTACAATTAAACATCAACCATAATAACTAATCGGTCATCGAGCCAAATCTAACGAGAGGACTATACGTAAAATTACATCCTAGAAATAGTCACACTTACCATTCCCACAAGGAGAAAATCAATCAAACTTCTAATACGCTCAAAAGTAAACAGGACCTTCAATTATTAACCAATCAAAATGAGAACCTACATCGGCCACGGCCTAATGAAGTACAGATGTTTAGTTATAGTGGGCTTACATATCGTAGTAAAACAAACATTAGGCCCAATAAGAGCTCAAAACTAAACCAAAACCGTCGCTGCCAAATCAAATGACACCGCCTAACCTTCTCTTTAAACAGTTTACATTAAAACTCCCACTCCCTATTTAGACAATGTTACTCTTTTTTTTTACAATTATATCCTTTGAAATGACAGACTTATCTTTTAAATTGGGCAGTTTTCATTTGTTTTATTTTCTTAAGCGGCACGACTTTTTAGTATCTGACAGTTATTCTTCTTTTCGTCAGAGCTTCCAATTTTCTTCTTCTTATTTTCTTACATTTCAATGGTGCTAATCCGATCTGCAGAAAAAAAGAAAATAAAAAAAATCCATTCAAATGGATCAGTCCAAGAAAATAAAAAAATCTATCAAAACCTGTCCATTTGAATAATAATTAGAATAGATAGATATGTGCTGAACTAAATTCATTTGACATGTACTAAACTAAATTTATAGAAACACTTCTTCTCTTTTCTTACTAGAATAATTTGAGATGTAGATTGTTGATGTGGTAAGCACAATTCTATGACACTAAAATTTCTCAAAATTGTTATTGTTTCCTTTATGTTGCTTATGTTGTTGTAATATTATTTTGTTGTTTATTTTACGTTGCTTTATAATTAAATGAATTCATGTTATGTATTTTTATAATTAATTGACTAATTCTTTTTTCTTTTTTTTAGATATTAATGTTTGAAGAAGAAGGAAAAAGTTGAAGATAGAAAAAAAAAAACGTGAAAGGAGAATAAAAAAGAGGAAGAGAGAGAAAGAGGAAGAAAAAAGAAGAAGAGAGAGAAAAAAGAGAGAGAGAAATTGTCGTCTATCTGTTTTTTTGCTCAAACGATTCACAATTTTGTATTTTTTAATTTCTTTTTGTGTTTTCCTAAATTTGTTCAATTTTGGAGTATATTTGGTATTGTGTATGAGTAATAACTGTTGTGAAATCTAAGTCTTAAGGAGGGGTAGTTATAAAATTTCCCCAAGAAAACTTACATGGGCCTTGGCTCGCCAAAAATTTGAAAACAAAACAAATCGCTGTTCGCGAATTGTAGCAAAACAGAGTTGTGGCCCATTAATAATCTCTTTGAAATAAAAAATGAATATCGCCGTTGCCGGGGATCGAACCCGGGTCACCCGGGTGACAGGCGGGAATACTCACCACTATACTACAACGACTTGGTTGTCAAATCTTTCGCAGTAATCATAATAATTGGCGCTACTCCACACTAACAATCCCAAAATTTCGTGTGTGAAGTACACATTTGTTTCAAGAGTATACGTATATAAACCTAAAATTAAAAAAAAAAAAACCAACGTTAATCACAAAACTTCTATACCATCAAAATCGTGCTTTTTATGACATCAATGTTCAATCAATATTTCAAATACAATCAAGAAAATCCATCTCAAAGTCCAAACCACAGGAAAAAAAAAGAGGGGAAATAAAAAAGGAAAATAAATAAACTAAAAACGTCCCTCGATTTCATGTTCCTATAACTCTCTACTCTCCATCCCAAACCACTTCTTTCTGTAGAGCAAACGCAGCAAACAACCGTAAATTAAACACACACACACACAACACTAGGTCCCGAGCAGTTAGCCGAGACAGGAGAATAATGTCAATCACAAATTAGGAGGTGTTTGTTTCTTCTGTCTTGTTACGTTTGGCCGAGGGCTCTTCTTCACCACCTTCTTCGAGTTTATGAATTCCATTAATGGCCTCAGCACCAAGAAGAGAGACATGCTTGCTTGTGATCTGGCGCCCGGCCCTTACTTTGGGCCCCCAATACCGTTCGGGATTGGGAAGGAATCGAGCAACCTTTTTCGCCTGGGCCTTGCTAAGGGAAGCCACGGCTCGCGTGAAATTGGCCTGTCAGAAAATATAATTATGAAAAAAAAAAAA